TTATTTTTCCTCATCAGATGGTTATCAATTTTTATAAATTCATATGATGTGATTTTCTGGAATTTTCTTTGGGATTCTGTCTTTCACTGTTAGAATGTACATATGATTAAAGTTATAGATCGTTGCATTCTTTATAAGTGGGCCACTGTATAAGTGGGGAAACATGGCAGGTATTGAGAGTTCTTTACACGGAGCCGGGCCTTTGGTAACCGTTGGCGACGGAGGTGTCCATCCGGCGGCGGATGACTTGTTTGGGAGGCAGATCTGGATGTCCTGCAGGGGTCAGACTCTCTTTGGACTCCAGGGTGGACAAACTCTGAGCAGATCCAGAGCAGCTCCTGCGTCCTTCAGGGCGAAACACACATCAGAATAACTTCTGCCTCATTCGAAATGACACAAAGACTCCAAATTCTGATACCGAAAAAGCAGAGGCCAGAATAGAAATGAACAAAAGAAACACAAAACTTTATATTTTTGCACGTCTATTTTGAGTGATGTTATTTGAAGAATGACTCGGAAAGCTCTGGATCTTCCACATGACAATAAAACCACTAACTCCCGACAGGAAACTGTTAGAATTGGGCTATAATTACTCACTTTAGCATAGCATGCTACAACTTAATCCATGTAAACGACTGATTGTCTTATTCCTTTTTAGATTAATTTTATTCCCTTTATAGTTATACTTTTAAGTTAAACTCTCTCTGTTACAGTAGATACTCGTCTTCAAGCTCTACATCCACACTTTCTTATCACATTCCACCTAAACCTGCATGAATTAGGACCTGGCCTGTTCAGGTCAGAGCTAACTGACCAATAACACTCGGTTACGCCCAGCCATCCTCCCTTTTCGAGGCCCAGAGGTTATACCCGACACTGATATACTTTGCTTGTGACCAATAAATGTCATATTTTTACTCTTGAACTACTCCGGTTTATTCTCAGGCTTCCAACTAAAGAACCAAAACTAAATCAGATTGTAGTTTTTGCACGTAGGGTCTCTGTATACTGGGTTCTGTCACCGATGTGTTTGTCTTTGTGTATTTCGATAGTTTGATCTGTTTTTATTGTGTAAAGCACTTTGATCAGCTCCGGTTGTTAAAAGTGCTAGACCCGGCCCATTCGTTTATGTCCATTATAGTGGACATTTTGTCCA